GCGTAGTGAGGGTGAGAAACAAAGATAGAGTTGGCGCCGGTAATGTGGGAGGGAAGGGCGAACGAATGAAAAGAAAACTATTGAGAACCTCGTTCGACTTTGCTGAAGAACCAGAGGCCCGGGAACAATTGAATCCAAGAGCCCAGAAGAGCCAACAAGAGTCTTCAAGTATCTGCGCCAACTTTGCTTGTTGGCATGACACAGTTTGTTGGCAGTTGGGTACCGATAGCGAAAAAGAGAGAGCGCTGGGGAACCGTCGGAGTGGCTCGGCCATCGGCGTCTGGCTGGCCTTTTGAGACTGGCCTGAAGTGCCCAGAAACTGGCAGAGTCTGCTCTGGTTAAAAAAGGGGTCCCTGACTCTCTGTGTCTGTGGTGTGTGTGTGTGTGTGTGCTATGTGTGTGTCGTGAGTGGAGAGGTGTCGTCGGATGTGCTGCTGACCAACTCGCATCCCCACACACGTCACTGGTCGTCGCCCCGGACTCAAGCTTCAATTCAATTTCAGATCTGCTCAAAAATCGAGGGGCTCCCCCAGATCTTCTCCATCTTCCCCGGGTTTCAATCATTTCATTGCAGCCTCAACTGGGGGCTCGGAAAGAATTGCAAGTGGCACAAGTGCCATGCCGTCTCCCGAAGCGCCTGATTCGCTAAGTGCCACGACCTGGTGAGTGAGACTCTGCTGATCCACCCGAGGAGGGGCGGGCCTCTCGGGGAAAAACACCTGTTTTGGAGGCGTCAATTTGGAGGCCATTCGCACCGACGGCGACACGGACAGCGGCGCCGCTCACCTTGAGACGCGGGGTGCCGAGCAGACTTCGGCGAGAGATGAAGGCAATGAAGCTCTCGCCGGTGATGGCAAGGTGAAGGAAGCTCAAGGGTCTTCGTCGACGTCGTTGCCATCTGCTGCTCCAGCTGAGAAAGAGTGAGGAAGTCGGTTGCGATGGCTCTGAACTCGGTCTGTGAGAAAAGAGGCGGCTGTAGAGAGAGAGCCGGTGGGAGAGAACCGCAGAGTTTGACAGAGATGTCATGATCGAGGAAGAGATTGCTGACTGTGTTTGATCCGTGCAGCGAGCAGTGTCGCGAGCAGCACCTGCGATGTGATCGAGTGCTGCCCATCTGCGGGCGGTGCCTGATGACAGGGCGAGAGTGCAAAAAGGGCTACAAGTTTCGCGCCCCCAAGCACGCCGTATTCAGAGAGAGCCACAAGTGGCCTGCGCCGCCAAAGAAGCTCAAGTTCATCGACGAGACTCGCGGTGTCGAGCTCGGCGAGGACCTCGACAGCAACGAGTCCGTTCACGACTCGGCGCCAGACGTTGACGAAGTTGGGACAGAAGCCACAACAGAAGTCGCGTCCACTTCGCCAGGCACGGCTACGGCCGTAGACTCGACAGTCTCTGATGATCAGCGTCGGCCGTCAATATACGCAGCAAAGGCGGCGAGCTGGCCTTTGCCTGGCGACGAGAGCCGGCCCGGCGCCAAAAGCGTCGTTGATGGCGGCGACGTGGTGGACGAGCCTGTCCAACCTCCGCATCGAATATCGTTGAGTACGCCCGGCGCCGACAATCACAGCCAGCACGGCAGCCATCGCGAACATTCTGGCTCCGTCGTGAGTCTGCCGCCGGTGCAGTCCATGTTGCCGCCGTTGGAGGGCATATACACCGATCGACCGATATGGCCTATCCAAGGGCGAAAAGAAGCCACGCTGTTCCGTCATTACGTGGACAAACTTGGATTCTGGGTATGTTGATATAGCTTCGGGATGGCTTGCTTTTTTGAAGCAACGAAGAAACGACACTGACTGGACCACTAGCTCGATGCGTGTGATCCCTCCAGACATTTCGAGGTCGAAGTACCGCAGCGTGCCGGCTCATGTCCTATCTTGCTCAACGCCATCTTCGCCCTTGCCTCGAGGCATCTGAGCCTGACGAGCGCATACGACTCGCTGGCATCGAACAGGTACCACGAGCAGTGCCTCAACTACTTGATCCCACTGCTGGACCACGCAGGAACGGTGTCGGACGAGAACTTGTTTGCTGCAACAATCATACTTCGCGTGCTGGAAGAAATCGATGTAAACACCCTAGGCCAGGACACGCACGGCCACCTGCTCGGAATTCACGCCTTTGTCAACGCCGGAGACCGATTCCTTATGCCGGGAACTTTGACGGCGGCATGCTTTTGGGCAGGACTGAGGCAGGAGATCTACAGCGCCGTCATCAACCAACAGGTGGTCCGAATGAACCTCGGTCATGCCATTGTCGACCGATCCACCACCCCGGCCGACGACTTTGTCTGGGCAAATCGTGCCATTGTCCACTGCGCCGATGTCCTCAACTTCTGCTTCGGGTCCGAGGCGGGGTCGGTGCTGCAATGGGGCCAGCTCGAAATGGCAAACAGAGAATGGAAGAACGCGCTACCGCCTTCGTATACTCCCATCTTCTTCCGAGAGAGGACAGATGAGGAGGCTTTCCCCGAAGTATGGTACCAGAAGGCTTGTCATAGTGAGTATACCCCTGGTCTGGTCCCGGTCTGGTCTGGCCTGATCTCGGAACTGCTCCCGGACACGGAAAGTATCTCAGATATCCGACGATCCGGAAGGCTGGCTCATGGCCAACCCTCCTCTTCAGGAACCGCTTACTAACAACTCCTTGGTAGTCATCGCTGTCCAACACCACATTCTCGCCGAAATGTACCTCGTGCTGTTCAATCCGAGCATACCACGAGTCGGCGGCGGCCGCAAAGCTGCTGAGAAAAGGCTGACCCAGCAGATTCAGGATCTCCTGCGGAGTCTCTGTGGAATTGGCATGTGCAACCAATGGTCACCGCCGGCCATGTTCACGGCGTGTATGGGTATAGCCATCGGTACGTTTTGCTTTCTTGTTCCTTTCCGGTTCTTCTTTCGTTGCTTTTTTCCTATTTCTGTAGCCTTTAAATTCGAACTTCCTGAACAGTAGACTAATTTGGGCCTCCTCCAGCCGGTGATCGATTCGACACCAAGCATGACCAGGAAGCTCTGCTGAAGATGCTCAGCATCACCGAAAAGGCCCACGCAAGGCCCACGACAGCGGTGCGGGATCAGCTGATGCACGCATGGGGCTGGTTGGACGGGGAAGCAATGAACGAGGATTGAGGAGGAGCACAGGGTGACCGCCCACTCCGCCTACCCCAGACCGCAGAGGTTGGGAGAAGCGGGGTTCAGAGACATGCGTAGGCGAACTGGACTGGCAGGCCAGTCGCCGAGAAGATGTTTGATGAAAGCCTCTTCCATTGGATCACGATAACGACTGCTGGCGAGACACGAGAGAGATCGTCTCTCACTAGGATTGGATGTGGATCACAATAGACTTGGTGCATGGGGCTGGACTGGACTGAACTGAACCGGACAGGACTGGATACGTCCCCCGGACTTGGATTTCGCTTGGTTTGCAATCTGTGGATACCCGACTTGATAGTGTAGAAGCGTCATGATGCTGTGTTTGTAGCGGCAGGATCTGGCTGGCCTGGCTTGGCTGGCACAGTAGTATAGCGTACGATGCAGGTTGAAAGCAATCGGACATATTTCGCGATTCCATCTGCTTGGTTCTTCATTATCCGCGGGTTATCGCTGGCCAACCTGATCTCGAGAGTGTCTGATTTCAAAGATAGTGATGCTCACGGCCTCCCCGCACACGGCGCACACGGCGTTCCATCCACATGGCGCCCATATACGAATAGATGAGCATCGTCGTGTAATGCCGGCTGGTCTGAGCTTGAAACTGACAGCTGCCGTGGCACATTGGAACACGTAGGGACCATCCAGATCCCGCGGGGTTGTTTGGGAAGCGTGGGGAAGCCAGCAGGTCTTGGCCAAGCTCGCCCTGGATTACCGTCAGGGACGACATTGGGAAGGAGGCCCCGAAGCTGTGACGAAAATTGATGTCAGACATGTTCGTTTTGGGCGAATCGGAGGTTCCAAAGTCAAGAATCTCGGGAGAAGGCCGGGACGGACACCGGGTGACGGTGAGGGGAGAGGTCTGGCAAGGCCTGGGCAAGGGACCACTGGGATGTCCCCTCCGGCAAGTGTTCTATATCCAATCAGTAGGAAGCCATTACTGAAAAGAGGAGAGGAATCCGCGGGGATGGAGATGTCCTGCATTGAGCGGGAATGGCGTTGGTTGGCGTTGGCAGGGGGGCGTCGAGGTCTGCGTGGCAGCCAAGTGCCAAAAGAGGGAATAATCAAAAATAGTCTGCAAATCCCATGATGAAGGCGGCGGGGCCAGAAGGCCTCGTAGGGTCGTGGAGGGGTGGACCGGGGGAAAAGCGATTAAGCTTTGCCGCAGAAAAAGAATCCAAGATTGGCAGAGACGCAAGGGCGCCGTCACATTGCATCGTTTCTGGCCATCCCGGAATGCGGTTGGCGTGGAGTCGTGGAGGTCTGGAGAATAGGCGAAGCGGGATTGAAGGTGTGGAAGAAGCGTTCGAGCGTTTGCGACTAACAAGGATGGCAGTCGTGGGTCTCGGAATTCTTTACCATTGTCGTCGGGAGTTGACGAGAGGTCAGAAGTTTTGGAAATTCCAGCAACTTGCACGAGTCTCCAGATTGTCCCAATTGGGACTAGTATCAAAAACTCCAGAGTCAGGCGAGATCATGTGACCGGAGATTCTGGCTACTTCTGTTCCGGCGAGCGAAGAGTGGGTCCATCTCTGGATTTGGGTGGGGTCCTCTTCCAGCAGGAATTCGGCGATTTTCTCCTCTTCCAACTACGCAAAACTTGGAATCCCCTCGCCGGCCTCGCCTTTCTTCGTCGCAACGTCGCAACTCTCCAGGGCCTCTCCACAGATCTGAAATCTCGCCCCGTCTTTCCTGCTCCATCTGGATCATAACCACTCTCCGCGGGGCATAGTTCTGCATGGGCAAGACAAGGGCCATGCAGATGACGACCCTTCACGGCAAAAACGTCAACTCGGGCTGCTTGTCCAAGTTAGCCTTTTGCCCACACCAGTACGGATACCCGGTGCTGCCATGACGAGGTACTTGGCCCGAATACTGCGTCTGGCGGGCGATACTAGGTACCTCGCCATGTCCGAGTTTTTTCCCGTCCTACTCCTTCGTTACTCTACTTGCCCTTCGTAATCTTCATCTTCCGTGATCTTGTCTTCAACAACATATTTAAAGACTATCTCCAGATACCTATTTCTCCCTCTTTTTGCTCATCATCAAACCAGTCTTCAGCATTCGAGTGATACCCCCCTTGGAAAGATCATCATATATCGACTCTTTCTTCATATCGAGCTGTAATCTTTCTTAGACTTTCTGTACCAAACTCTTCTTTTCGACTTTGCAAACTACCGTCACAATGGCTGCTGCTGTCGCCACCCCTTACGTCCGCACCGACGGACACGCCCTCGAGGAGACCACCGACTTTGTCGAGGAGGTCAACATTCTCAAGGACCAGTACAATAAGGCACAGAACGACTTCGAGGGCGAGTCCAAGTTCGACTCAGAGAAGGACAAGACCGCTTTCCGCCAGTACGAGGATGCTTGCGACCGCGTCAAGAACTTTTACAAGGAGCAGCATGAGAAGCAGACCGTCGGGTACAACCTCGCTGCCCGCCAGAAGTTCGCCATCGACCTTACTGGCAAGATCCCCTGCCGCGATGAGATGACCATCTGGGAGGCCATGGAGAAGCTCAACACCCTCATCGACAACTCGGACCCCGACACCGAGCTCTCTCAGATCCAGCACTTGCTCCAGACCGCCGAGGCCATGCGCCGTGACGGCAAGCCCCGCTGGATGCAGCTTACCGGCCTGATCCACGATCTCGGCAAGCTTCTCTTCTTCTACGGAGCCGAGGGCCAGTGGGATGTCGTCGGTGACACCTTCCCCGTCGGATGTGCCTTTGACAACCGCATCGTCCTCCCCACCACCTTTGAGGGCAACCCCGACAACACCCACCCCGTCTACAGCACCAAGAACGGCATCTACGAGCCCGGCTGCGGTATTGAGAACCTCATGATCTCTTGGGGCCACGACGAGTACATGTACACTGTCTGCAAGGAGCAGTCCAAGCTTCCCCGTGAGGCTCTCGCCATGATCCGCTACCACTCCTTCTACCCCTGGCACCGCGAGGGCGCCTACCGCGAGTTCATGAAGGAGGGTGATGAGGACCTCCTCAAGGCCGTGCTTGCCTTCAACCCCTACGACTTGTACAGCAAGTCTGATGATGCCCCCACCGTTGAGGAGCTCAAGGTATGTCTTACTCAATCCTACCCGGATCTAAATTTCATCATGAGACTAACAATTTGATAGCCTTACTACATGGAGCTCATCGATGAGTACTTCCCCACCAAGGTCATCAAGTGGTAGACATGCCCTTTCAGATTGTCATGTTACGACGGGTACGAAATGAGATGGGACCTTTGGCATACACGCCCTGGGACATATGTTCATGTCGCAAGAGGCACGGCGTTTTAATTGGGATACTTGATGATACATTTGAGCGGTCTTTGTGTGTGCGTATGAGATAAAAACATGGCCAGAAGAAGCCTTGACGAGTCAACTGAAAGTACTCGAGTTCAGGAAGTCTAGAATTTCTTTTAATAGACTAGCGCTCTGAAGAAATCGTTGCAGCGCAAAAAGATCCGGACCATGTGATGTTGCCTTCACCTGTCGATTCACTTGATATAGCCAGGTATCGCGAGCAGCTAATCTTGTCGTGATGCAGGAACTCACAGTTTGTTTGTGATTCATCACACCCACCCACACCTAGACACAGTCAGCTGCTTCACTCATCTCATGACTCTTATTCTTGGCAGCGTAGATGACAAACGCAACTCATCGTGTCTTTCAACCCCAGAACTTCATCCGACTATTTATCAACGCAAGTGAGATAAAGTTGCTCGAACATTCACCTGATTCTCATCACCCTCTTTTCAATCCGAAATCGAGCTTAATGCCGGTGGAGTTAGTGTAGTGATCTCCCTCATTAACGGCAATTCAATAGATCGTACTGTTCTACATATTATGTATCAACACGCTGGTTGTTTGTCAACCCCAACCTTGGCTTGGATTCCTCATCGAACACCTCGGACCGTGGTATTTCTCTCAACGCCAACCCATAGGCGCACCAATTGAATGACTGCTTACGAATCGCCACATCAAGATAACGAGGGACTTCTGATTCGGCCCCCGACTTAAAGCAGTTATCCAATGGCATGATTCCATTGCCCCACCCTCTCAGCGACCGGAGGCCCCAATCATTATCCGTGTCGGTAAGGTCCACATCACCGAGAGCAGGGCCCGCTTACGGAGCCGGTCGGGGCATTTGTCTTTACCCTTACCCCAGATCGTCACATTGAGCAAAACATGCTGTGCGACTTTTCTTTCTTAGGCATAGAAAAGAATTCAGACTTTGCAACTCAGGCAAACTTGAGGCAACTCATCCAGGGAGTGGCAGGTGTTTCTCCCCACATATGCCACATGTCTCGAACTCCTAAATTCACATGATGTGAGGCCAATTTCACTCCAGCCCTGAGGCCAAGTCGTGCACTTACCAACGACCCACAAACGCACCCACAAGCACACAAAACTGTAGACATCGTGACTCAACAGAGAACGATCCACAAATCCAAAGCCCTAATAAACACCTTGTGCTCTCGCCCTCGTCATCAACGAGTACCCATCATCAAGCACAATAGCTCAGGGGTAGAGCGCTGGGCTCATAACCCAGAGGTCCCTGGATCGAAACCAGGTTGTGCTATCATCACTTTTGACTTTTTGGTTTCCTAGTTCTCCAGAATCAGAGTGCACTTGCGCTCTCTTTATATCAAGCACTAGTGGTCCATTTCCACGGATCAGACCGACTTCTTTCTCGATTCTTCCAAGATTCAAAGCATAAGGCCATCACTGACTGTGTTTGGACAAACTAGACAATGTGTAAAACTGCCGGCCTGAGAGCCCTCAGAGCACGAGTGAACCATGTTTCTTCAAAAAGTTTTGCCTGGTGGTGTTTGCGCCACCACTGACCGTTCTCTAGCCCTTAAGAATTGGTTCATCCCATGTTTCCCAACCCACTTGACCAGGTTTGTCGGACTCAAAAGACAGCCGTCCGCCGCCCTCATAAAAGCGCAAGCGCGTATTATTCTCTATCGCAATGTCATTGGGTCAAACTTGAGCCTCATCTTCGCCGACTTGGCAATAAGCGGTCCCGCAGGCGCGTAAATCTTGGCTGCAGCTTTTACTTAGCCTAAACATCTCAAATACGCACTTCCGCCCGCCACAAATAAATGCCACACCAAAGAAGGCGAACGGGAATTTCCGGAATGCTTTACAACGCTCATCCAACGTATACCAGCACCGCGGTTCACGTCAGATTTGACACCCGCACGTCTCCTTTGCTGAGTCCTCGGGTAAGAGAGCAATGTGGCGAGGGAAGAGAAGAAATCGGTTACCCGCCCATCGAACAAAGTCGTTTTAGACGTTTTGGTTCGATCCTCGGGCAGAAGATGAAATCCTTCAAAGTTTTCGATGCTCTAACCCTCAGCAGTCCTTCTCATACATCCGCACGGCCAATTTTTCAAGACCGTCGACCGCGCCACATGCGCCGGCCGAGGGTTGGAGGGGCACTGTGCCTAGCTTCGAGCTTCAGCTTTTCTTCTCAGAGGTGAAATGTTCGTGGGGGAAATGGACTGTGAAGCTGAGTAGAGAGAGGACATAGCGAGGCGACAGATGCACGTTGCCGCTTGCCGGTGGCCGAGCGCTCGACATTTTGAGAGGTGACGGCGGTTTTGATACATGATATAGCCACACTGCTCAGACCTTTTTGCTGCCAAACGCAAGATACGCTTTGCTTGCGCAGGGCCAAGACACGGCCGAAGACGACCGCTGCGTTCGACGAATCGACACTATGAGCTGGAGAAAGCACATGAAGGAGCTTGAACAGCGACATGATTGCCACACGGGAAGACGGGGTCTAGGCCGTGGCGACTTTCTCATATTTGGTAAATCCCGGGGTAGGAGCCGTAGGATCTCCCGGCTAGGGAATACCATACAGGATCCTCAACCTGGAGCCGCATGATTTGACAATAAGAGAGACGCCGCGAAACATCCAGCGGCGCTTAGAGACGCGCAGCTGACGAAGAGATTGTGGCTTTTCGAGTTTCCTGATGAATCATCATGCAACCGCCAAAGGAGACTCCTCCGTCTCAGCAGACGCGCCTGTCTCTTTCTCTGATGCCGATATACCCTTAGTTACAACGGGAAGTCATACGAACCCGAAGGCCGCCCGAGGGCTGCATGGTGGCGGCCGTCTAACCTGAACCCCCATACCTCTCCTCAGATTGCTTCTCGCCTTGCAGCCTGCCTTCAGTCTGAACTGGTCCCCCTCGCATGCCTGTACTCAGCAACCAGGAGAGCGGACCTTGGTTCCGGCTGCCGGGTAGAAGCGAACATGCATTCAGAGCCACCCACCTCGGGCTTGTCTGACACTCGTGATAACCGCCCACTAAGGCGGCCATGGACCCAAAGACCGCTTGGTACCCGGGACCGACTGTCAGGAACTACACAGAAGACAATCCAATCCAACCGCAGTAAACTACACACACGCTCACTCCCACTCAGACAGTTCCAAACATCATCCCATCTTACCTTTGCCTTCCCTCCCCAGCCCGAAGATATTGAAACTAACCCGCCGTCTTGGTGCCGCCCGCCTTGGTATAAAGCTCTCTGGTTGGTACGTGGGTGTGTCTAGGAACGAGCTCCTTCCCTTCCGCGGCGCAAAATCTAACAGTTTCCTACGTTTCGCGACGCTCGACCTAAAAGGCTAGATCACGGTTCGTCCCCGAACGACAGCACCGTGCCCTCTTTCTTAAGGTTAATCAGGCGGTGGCCAATATCACAGCGCAGGTTTTCTACCTTATCTAAAGGTTGCGTCGACCGTTGAAGAGTTGGAATTTCTGGAAGCTCTTCTCTTCTTTTGTTACGTCGAACGAACAAGGTTGTGGTAGAGATTAATACTGGGTGGACTAGGTAAGTCGCCTCCTCTTAGAGTGCCACTTCATGAAACGGGATCCTCGTTGACTGACTCCTATGTAGGGCAACTCGAGCAGACATTCATAGCCCTCGGCATACGCATCAGCCAAAGACAGTCAAGATGAAGTCAACACTCTCCAAGAGCGCGCTCTTCTTCCTCTATGGCCTAGCAGCAGCCGTCCCCTCACCGTCGTCCAACACTGGTGTCTCGAGGAGGCAGGATAACGCACAGCCTGGCTCATCAACCCCTGCGGACTCTAACCAAGGGCCTAAGTCTTGCAACACTGCCGACAACAGACAGTGTTGGGTTGAAGGGTTTGATATCAAGACTGCTTACGAGGAGTCCATCCCAGATACTGGTGTGACGAGAGAGGTTGGTTGACGCGTGTACTCTGAGGGTTACGCCGTGCTAACGAGTTGGACAGTATGACTTGGTTCTCACCGAGCACACCTCTTTCCAAGGTCAAGATGGCATGACCAAGAACACGGCGATGTTAATCAATGGTAGGCTACAATCTCTCCTTTCTTCCACATCGTTGTGTGCTCATTCAAGCCCTTATAGGTGGCTTCCCTGGCCCGAACATCAAGGCAAATTGGGGTGACAAGATCAAGGTCAGGGTCGTGAACAACTTGAGGACGAATGGGTAAGTAACAGCAGCTATAATGCGCACCCACCTCTAGGATACCGAATCGCTGACAACCCCACAGAACCTCAATGCATTGGCACGGCCTGCGACTTCTGAACAACAACCAGAACGATGGTGTCAACGGTATCACCGAGTGCCCCATCCCGCCAGGAGCCACCAAGACCTACGAGTGGCGTGCCGAGCAGTACGGTTCATCATGGTACCACTCGCATTTCTCCGACCAGTATGCCAACGGTATCGCCGGTACCATTCAGATCGATGGACCTACCTCCAAGAACTACGACGAGGACCTCGGCACCTACTCCATCACGGATTGGTATTACAAGTCTGCCGACGAGATCCGCTCCACCTTTACTGCCCCCGCTGCCGTTCCCGCCAGTGACAATATCCTCTTCAACGGCACCAACATCAACAAGAACGGCGGTGGCAACTACTCCCGCGTGACGCTCAAAAAGGGCAAGTCTCACAAGATCCGCCTCGTCAACATGTCCGTCGACAATACCTTCACGGTGAACCTCGTCGGTCACAAGATGACGGTGACGGGAACCGACTTTGTCCCTGTCAAGCCCTTCGAGACAGACTCACTCTACCTGACCGTCGGCCAGCGCTACGATGTCATCATTGACGCTGACCAGGACGCCAGCAAGGCGTACTGGTTCAACGTTACGTTCCCGTCCAACAGACTGTGCGGCACGTCCAACATGAACAAGCCTGCTGCCATCTTCCAGTATGAGGGTGCGGCAAACGGCCTCATGCCCAAGGATGCCGGTAAGGCGCCCACCGATTCCCAGTGCCAAGACAAGACGGACTTCGAGCCCATCTACAGCGTCGACGTCAACTCTACATCGTTCGCCAAGACCCAAGATGATACTCTTGACATTACCGTAGACACGAGCAGGACCACCGGCACTCAGCAGGTCTTCTGGAAGGTCAATGGCCAGAACATGGACATCAACTGGGACCAGCCGACGCTTTCTTACCTCGCCAAGAACAGCACCGACTACCCCGACAACTACAACGTCTTCGAGGTTCCCGCCGACAATGCTGTAAGTTTCCCCGTATCGTCCATCCCGGCACCACCAGCTAACATTATCACAGTGGGCATTCTGGGTCGTCGAGAACCTGTTCCCCGCCCCTCACCCCATGCATCTTCACGGCCACGACTTCTACATCCTAGGCCACTCCGAGCCGGCCTCCAGCGGCCGCGGCGACGGCGTCCGCTTCAACGCGCAGACCGACGTCTCCAAGCTAAACTTCAAGAACCCGACCAGGCGCGACGTGACCACCCTCCCCGGCCGAGGCTGGCTCGTCGTCGCCTTCAAGACGGACAACCCCGGCGCGTGGCTGTTCCATTGCCACATTGCGTGGCACGTCAGCCAGGGCCTGTCGGTGCAGTTCTTGGAGCAGACTGACAAGATTATGGATACTGTCCGGGCTCAGGATATGGACGATATGTGCAACCAGTGGCAGACATACTCGAAGAAGGCTCCTTACCCCCAGACCGACTCTGGTCTGCGTAAGCTCAAGATGTAAAAAGGCCCTGGATGTTATCACTCATGGGAATTTTGCAAAAGATTGTAAAGGACTGTTTGCTTGATTGTCTACTTGTTGGATCATTTGTGGGAAATCGAGTGGCGTAGCGGTCGGAGCATGGTCATTACTGTGGGAAAGAAGGAGCATCATAGATAGAAATAACATTCATGCTAATCATCGTTACCATTACTTCGCAGTCCTGTGTGCTAAAGATAGTACATGTTCAACCTTCTCTCCCTCAGGATGGCATGATACCTCGATTCGATCTTGAGAGATACTAACCCCGTCTTGTTAGGCACAGATGCTTGCTATTGCATTTGTACGCCTCGTAGCGCTGTACGTTGCGATAACTTGACCAAAGGTCTGGCACATGTTTTGAACGAAATTTTGATCTTGATAACTTGTATTCAATTTGTACAATACATTTCTAACCCGAGATCTAGGCCTCTACAAACGACCGACACGAGCCGAAGGGCTCTCAAATTTCCACTGTCTACACCAATGAGCCATCAACTCCGGCGTCACAGGTCCAACCGAGCGGAGCGCAGGACTGCAAGTTACAGTTCTCGTAGTATCGTGTGTCCTCGTGTTCGGTATATTTTCTCCCGCAGAAGCAGCGCCTCGATAGAAGTCGACCAGCTTTAAGCCTGGGTTTCGATCAGCGCCAAGCGCTCCGGGTGCAGTACGACTTGCTTCTAATCTCTCTACCCATTCCTTGAAGGGGATGAGGTCAGGAAGTTGATTCCTTCCGTAATATTGCTGGATAGCCGGGACCAGCTTATCAAATGTTGTGATGGAGGGGTTGCTGCCGTGGAAGTACCCCTCGTGGTAGTCTTTCGACTCCTCAGTCAGGCCGCCGATATCCAGGATCATTTTCGACATTGTCTCAACCGGGACCCAGGCGGTTGTGTTCATACCGGATAGGTGTCTCGGCAACGCCTTGAGAACAAGACTGCTCGCGATAATGGAGGGCAGCCACTCTTGGCGGCTCCAAGCGCCGCCATCAGCAAGGGGCCCAGCAATCTGACCAACGCGAACGATAGCCAGAGGGAAGTCTCCGACTTGGGCGGCGTCCTCGAGGACCATGCTAGAGATCAGCTTACTCTGGCCATATCCAAGACCTGAGATACCATATTCCCGCAGGGACTTCTCCGGGACCGGGCCACGGCTTGCATCCCATTTGCTAGTGGTACCAATGGTCGACACGAACACCAGCACGACACGCTTCTCCGCCGTGGCAGCAAAGTCAGCCAAGTTGCGACATCCCTTGATGTGCGGCTCAAACGCATCGAGGGGCATGTTGAAGTTGACAGCCCAAGCGTTGTGAACGATGCGGTCCGCCTCTTTAAGGAGGCGAGAGTAGACCTCTTGCGACAACCCCATGTTGGGTTGCGACAAGTTGGTGTGGAAGAATTCGACCTTGCCGCTCTCTCCTGGGCTGGCTAGGCCACGCTCTTTCATGGCGTTGGCCTGCTTTCCGGCACCACCGTCGATTGACCTGTTGAAGCAAATGACCTTCTTGACGTGTGGGTTGCGAATCAACTCATCGAGCAGGTAGCATCCCATGTTTCCGGTGGATCCGGTGAGAATGACAGTCTGCTGCTCCTTTGCTGGCTCAGGGCGTCCAGTTTTGGCGTGAATCAGGTTCTGCCGAATCTTCTGGTATAGCCTGTCCATTGCTTGGTGATTCTCGCTTTCACTCGCAGTACTACCATTGGCCTTGCCCTGTCCAGATCGCAAAATGTGACCAGCTAGCTGGTGAGGACTAACGTGAGTATACATATCGCGAGCCTCAATAGTCGTATCACTGTAATGCTTATTCGTAGCGCGCAGACTGGCAGTAATGAAACGTGCAGCAGCAATGATTTGCAACGAGTCCATGCCCGCAGCGAAGAAATCAGTGTCAGACTCCAAGTGGGGGACGCCGAGGTGCTCGCGGAGGAGCTTCTCGATGGACTTGCTAAGCGCGGCCTGGGAGCTCAGATCGAGGCGCGGCACCTTCGAGAGGGGAACCTCTCTCGGATTAGCGTAGAGCTCTTCGATCTCATCGGCGTAAAGCTTGATTGTCGCCGATCTCTTGAGGGTGCCCTTGTCCGCCATCAGGAACGGCTTCTCGGGATTGGACACAGTGATCAAGTGCCGAACGATCCGACCGTGCGTAGCTTTTTATTCCCGTGTCAGCGCTACGTTTTCTCCAAGGATGGATGGGTGTAAGTGACGTTAGTTTGGGCGTAGTGGAGAGACTTACCAATTGTCTCATTAGCCTCGGCAACTTGCGGCATGATGCGGTCAATCAAGTCGTCAATCTCTTCGTCCGTCTTTGGCTGCACAAAGGGCTCTACGATTAAAGCTGGCTGGAACTTCTGTGCTCCTACTATGAGGGCAGCTTTCACCGCGGGGTTTCCGGCAATGATGTCTTCCATTCTCACGGGGTTGAGCTTCTCCCCGTTGGAAAGATTGATGATGTTGTCTGCACGGCCGTGAAACTTCCAATGGTGCGGCAGTGTCGGGTGAGGCTTGTATAAGTCGCTCGTGGCATACTCCTCTCTGTCGGGGAACGTGTAGAAGATGCCCTGGATCGGGATCTGCTTCGACTTTCTGGTGATCACCATCTCGTAAACGTCCTCGTCAGATGTGGCCTTTCGGAACTCGACGCCGGAAAGCTCCTCATTGTAAATGAAGTACTGCCACAGTGCCGAGTTCTTTTGATAATAGATGCAGAATGGCAGAGTCCTGAAATTCTCAGCGTGATGCTTCTTGGGATTCAAAGATTCGAAGACACATACTCAGTAGCACCAATAATGTTGAGCAACTTGACACCGTTCCTATATAGAGTGTCACCGGCCTCCTTGTTGAGGGGACCTAGCACGTTGTAAGTACTCAACCTCTAGTTTCTGTCCTTCACGGGGACGTACCTCCACCGAAGCCAACAAAGTTAAGCTTCTTCAGTACCTCAATTTGGTCTGGACGATGGACCATCTCCTCGAGTAGAGATGGAGGTAGCGCCGCGCTCTTCGCACCCGTCGCTTTGAGAATCTCTATGGTAAGATCAGGTGTAAGTGGGCGGTCAGGGAACGGGAAGATGATGGGCTTGTTGCTGAGAACTGCAGTCCCAATGAACCCATAGACGCCTCCGGCGTGGAATAATGGCACTGAACGTGTAAGCTTCTGTGAATGGTAATCGATGGTGCACTCATGGTACTCACTGGGACTGAAGTGTACGTCCGCCAGCGACTCCATTGCCCGCGCGATGGGGATCGTGCCATTCCATTCCGGGAACTGGTGCTGCGCATCCGTCAAGGCGATGGAGCCATGCTTGGTGACAATAGGCTTTGGGAGACCTGTGCTACCGCTGGTGTGGAGGACAAGGAAAGGATCCCACTCTGCCTCTGCAGCGGTTTTTGTGTATGGTATGTTTGGTACTTGGGGCTTGGAGAGAATATCGTGCAGAGGCTCGATCTCGATCTGCTTCATGTCCCAGTGTTTTACCCAGAATTCGACAACAGACTGGTGTGATGGCGGACGCACCACCAGTCGGCAGTCAGATAGCTTGAACAGATTCAACTGTGCCTCGAGAGGGTTTCTAGGAGACACGAATAGGGCCTGCTCGGTATCGTGTCAGCAAACTGTGCACATATCAAACTAGTCCAAGGAGAAGCTGACCTTGTATCCTGCCTTGATGCAGGCAACGGTCATGATCTATCATCGCGTCAGCTAGGGGTCCAGCAGATCAGACAGAAGATTTTAGCCGTCCACGCACGCAGTATCTTGCATCATTTGGGCCAATGTAGGCAATTGTCGGAAACGTGTTTGGCGCAGGAACTCCGCAGTTGTCTAGAAGGAAGTGCGCGATGTAGTTGATAGCATTCGCAAAATCTCTGTAGGTGACAACTCTCCACCCATCCCGGGGCTCCGACGTGTATGGCGTTGAGAAACACGTCAGGTTAGGCTCGTAAGCAGCCCTCTCGTCAATAATGGACGGGAAAGTCCGCTGTCCACAGACGGAGAGAGTTCTCGGCTCCGTGACTTGAACGGTAGTTGTGGCCATTGTGATTTTCGTCGATGATGATAAATAAGGGTAGAGCATGGCTTCATAGACGCACCATACCAACTCCCGAACTCCAGAAATCGACGAGACCAAATTGCACTCATATACTGTTTCCAATCCCTCGGTTGCAGTCTGAAAGTTAAGACGACACGTGACGAATCGTGGTATTTCTAAGCATTTTGAGGGGGAGATAACAAAGAGACTTTAAACCCGCAAGAGTCTATCTGTTGGGATGACCTCTCCGGCGTTCTGGACACAACGTAGTTGCGGTTGTTACAGAGTTCCACCAGCGGCAGCCTCGGTCGGAGGGTAGGTCTAACTTTCCGTTTCGGCCGCTTATCAGCGTGGATGGCAGGATAAAGCAGCCGATAGGAATGATATTTTCGGGACCGTCTTCGCATAAAGCCTCGATCAATCGGCGCCGAATTGTGACGTACTCAAGTTTTTGGACGAGTGAACGAGGAGATGGCAGCCCACGGCTCTTCTCAAGTGCATGGCTGTCCGGATATGAGACGATGAACAACAACATCGACATTATTCCCGATAGATCATATGACTGAGAAGTATCTATACTTCAAATGAGCGCGATGGAAGCCATCTTCCTTGTCTAGGCTTTGTCCTGGGCCAGCTTTGGGCCGATCCTGGACGCCATAGCTGACGGTAGGATGATTCCTCGAAAAGGCCAGCCTTGAGATTGAACCACTCGCCATCTAAAAACCCGTTCGACACAGAATGGCCGCTTCTCGAGCTCGGGGAAGACGTCGAAACTCTCGGATGCGATCAAGTCAAGGCTCGTTTCTAGTTTCCTGAGAGAAATCAACGATGTAGCTCTACCTTGCAATATGCTTGCAATATGAGAGACAACAACGTTTCGTCTGAGCTACTGACTCGCTCAAGATCTCCCCGACGCCTCGGCAATTTAATCTTTCTCGTGCGGGGAAGCTCTACATATTGGCCATAGCTTCACGCCAGACAGTAGAGTGAAGCTTTCGATCGACGTGTGAGGCCATAGAGGTTGGCCAGAAAATATTGCCGGTGAAGTAAGTAATTTCAGCAGCTCGCAAAGTAGATAAACGAGAAAACAAACCTTCATGGAAGCTTGTGAAGCTTCCAAAGCACTAGTTTCTGCAATGCAACATGCAAAGATCTCACTCATTTGTTACAAACTCGAAGGACGTCAAAAGTAGCGCCGGAACCAGATACCAAACGCGGCCCAGGCTCCCGAAGGAGCAACAAATCTAACGCCAAGGCACCGTTTATGACACACAGAAAATGGGACCTCCAAGTCTAGGAACCCGGGGACACCTGCAGGACGGCATCGGCACTTGTTAAGGCCCCCCACGGTCCACATGTTAACGTTCTTCAGTCGCGCCGAATCGCATCGGCAATGCTTGTCCTTCTCCCGCGTCCGGACTTCCGGCATCTGGTTTGAGTTTCAGTGGCCGAAGTCAAATTGGTTCCATTGGACTGTCCGTCGGAGGAAGTGGAGCGCGAGCTCCGTCTCGCCGTGAACGGGGAGGCGCCGGTCCCCAATTACTTGATGAGACTGTCAGCTTTCGCTTTTAATGAATGGGCCGATCGTGTTTGTGCGTTCATCTATCACGTTCAGCAAGCGGTGGATCACTGAAAACTTACGTACCTTGATATCTCGGTCTCGGATCTTGTTGATGCAGTGGAGGCTCATGTTGGTCAAGGGAATGCTGAACCTCGAATTCAAGGTAATCAATTTGCTTGTTCCACCTGGTATTACATGCTTGTAACCAATGCCCCCCAACTCCTATCCCCTTCTATAGTATGACGATGTAATGAAATCCCATAAGCCGTCGACTTTTCCACCGTCTAATCAAACACATCCGTCACGTAGCGGATATTCCTCAGCGCCTCGAACCATTCCTTGATGCTCTCCTCGTCCGTCTCCACACCCCTGGCCTTCTCCATCTCAACCTTGATCTTGAGCATTGTCTCCTTAGCAGACTCAGCCACACCACGCGAGCCACAAACGTACGCCTTGGAACCCTTCTTCCACAAGTCGACGAGCTCCTCACGATCCTGCCACATGCGATCCTGCACGTGCTTGCATCCCTCGCTCTTATCGCAATCGCGACTGAACGCGCGCCGGACAGAGACGGCACCCATCTCTTCCCACTTGTCAAACTCATCACGGTACAGATCGTCCTCCTCGGGCGAACGGCATCCGAAGAAGAGCAGCGCGGGCGCGAGGGTGCGGCCCGCTGCGAGCATGGTGGCGCGCTCCTGGATGAAGCCGCGGAAGGGAGCGAGACCGGTGCCGGCGGCGACGCAGACCATGGGCGTGTTCTCGGCATCGGTGGGGAGGCTGAAGGCGGCGTGGGATGGGCGGATGGAGACGTGGAGGCTGTCGCCCTCGGCGAGGGAGTCGAGGTAGGAGGAGGCGACGCCGATGTAGGGGCCCTGGCCTGAGAGAGAGGGCTCGTTGAGGACGGAGAAGGTCAGGGTGACGTTGTTTGGGTGCGCCATCGGTGAAGAGGAGATGGAGTACTGTCTGACGCGCATCGGGGGCATCATGGACAAGAAGACGCCGATCGGCAGGTCGATGGAGGGGTGGCGCTCGAGGAGGTCAAGGACGGAGACACGCTTGCCGCTGACCTCGTCTGCGTAGGCATCGCCTGAGAGGCGGTTCAGCTCGGTCTTGGTGGCCTCGTCCTTTGCGTGCTCTGCGAGAACAAGGATGTTCTGCAATATCGTTAGTATCGATGGTCACGGTACGTAAGAAGGATGGTTCTTACTCTTCTAGTAGCAGGCTGCGAAAGCTCAACGTAAGAGCTCAAGAGGTCGTTGGCGGGCACGGAAGTATCGACAGGGAGAGAGGTAGGTCCGTCAGTCTTGATGCTCAGGTGGGCATCACGGGCGATGTGGAAACGACGCATGGCACGGTAGACGGTCTCCTTGGGGTTGATGGGCAGAACGGCAAGGTAGTCGCCAGCAGTGTAGGTCATGTCCTCGGGGAGCTTGATCTCAACATGCTTCTTGATGCTCTTGGGGTCGCTACCCTTGGTGAGCGTCGCGGTCTTGGTGACGGTGGCCTCCTTGACGTCCTGGCGCAGGGTCGAGGTTCTAGGGTTGCTGATGACAACACCCAGTCCCTTGGTCTTGCTGTCCTCGGCAGAGGAAGTTGTCTTGTACTTGTTGGTCAATGAGGGCCAGAGAGTCTCATCCTCCCATGACTCAAAGTTGGTGAAGACCTCGCCGCTCGATACATCTGTCAGACCAACTTCGGCCAGGCGAGTCGCACCGAGCTGCTCGAGGGTAGTGTCGACCAACTTGGGAACACGGTGGAAAGTCTGAACCCAATCCTTGTGGCCGCAGCCAAAAACGGCGTAGGAGACGTCCTTGAGAGGGGACTTGGCCTTGTCCTGTCCCTCGATCCAGGCCACGAAGTGGCCAGCATTATCGGGAGGCTGGCCCTCGTACGACGCTGTGATGATAACAACGGGTTGGTCAGTAGGAAGGCTGCCGTTGGCGCTGTCCAGGCAGTCGATCTTGGTGGCGCGGAAGCCGTGGGATGCTGCATCGGAGGCAACGCGCTGCGCCAAAGCCTCGCAGGTTCCGCTGTTGGATCCGTAGAGGATCGTCAAAGGCATTCCCGTCTCGGCGCCGGCGGCAGCTCCGTTGGCCTTGGCCTGCTCGGCGGGCTTCTCGGGCTCGGCGAGACCGGCCAGGCGGCGCTCCAGAGTCGTCGGGGTGAGGTTGTCGCGAAGGATGGCGCGCATGTGCATGTCCTTGGGCTTGATGGTAAGGGTCTGCTTAACGCCAAAGTGGTAGTTGGGGTCCAGCACAAAGTTGAAGTTCTGGAGAAGCATGACCATGACCAAAAGGGCCTCTTGCCAGGCAAAGGGGCGACCGATGCATCCTCTCATGCCGTTGCCGAACGGCTTCCAGCAGTTGGGGAACTCCTTGGTGATGCGGTTGAAGTTCTCGTCCATCATGCGCTCGGGCTTGAACTCGTTGGCGTCCTCGCCGAAGACTAGGGGATCGAGCTGGGATTTGGCAAGGAGGTTGACAATGGTCTCGCCTGCGGCCACGGGGTACTTGCCACCAAGCACGGTATCTTCAAAGGCCTCAACTGAGAAGACGGGGATCGTGGCGTTGACACGCAGGGTCTCGCGGAGCACACCGTTGATGTAGGGCAGCTTAGACATGTGGTCGACCTTGATCTGTCCCTTGCCAACAACTTCGTCGACCTCCTGCTGGGCCTTGCGGTACGCCTCGGGGTGCTTCAGCAGCTGGTAGAAAGCGAATGACAAGAGTCCTGACGTCGTTTCGTGACCGGCGATGAGGAATGTGATCAAGTTATCCATGATACTCTCGTCCGTCATCTTCTTCCCGGTCTTCGGGTCAACTCCCTCGAGCATGGCCGTAAGCAAATCCCGGCGATCGCTCTTCCCTTCCTTCCTTGACTCGAGAACTTCTCTGGCCGTGGTTCTGAGGGTGTCAATGTCCTGCTGGAACTTCTGGTCCTTTGCGCTGTAGAACATGGCAGGGAGCGGGAGACGACGCGACTTGTTACCGGCTTCGGTCAAAAAGTCGCCCATGGCCTCAATGAAGGGATGAAGAACGGGTGAGTAGTAGCTGTTGAATCGGTATCCCATTGAGCATAGGGCCAATGTGTCGAGCGTCAATCGCGTGAAATCGTCCGTCACCATGATTGCCGATTCGGGGCCGTATCGCGCCCATTTTAATGCCAGCTGGGTAGCGATGTCGTGCATCTCATCGAACATGCCGCGAATCGAAAGAGGGCCGAAGGCGGGCATGAGCACGCGGTGAGCGATGCCCCAGTTCTCCTCGCCCATTTTCGCTGTGAAGAGTCCATCGTGGACACCTGCTCTGACTTGCTATTCGGGAATGAGTATGACCACCGTGTACATGTACAGACTGATGATATGAGTCTAGCTTGGCAAACTCACATTTAATGCCGAGTTCACGGACTTCTTGAACCGCTTCTCATCGCAAGTTTCATTCACGAGCTGCTGTGTCGAGACCAGGACAATTGAACGTCCTGGGAATCTCAATCGGTAAACCTCGCCTTCAGGGGCGCATGTCACTGTCAGCTGCACGCCATGGATAAGATAAGAGGGTCTGGCTCGCATGAGTCAGGGGGTTCATCACTCACCATACTGGTCCGCAAGAGACATCATAGATCCCAGGGGAAATTCAGAGTCGATCTCGTTGAGGTTGCCGAGGAATGGCAGTCCGCCGGGCTCTGGGATCGGTACTGTTTCCGACATGTTGTGTATGTATGTGTTTATCTATTCGTATGCGTATATTGTGAATGTCGAGGGTGTGGTCTTGGTCCTCGAGCGTTGTTGGTCAGTCAGCTAACTGAGAGATTTGAATGCTTCTATGTGGTGAGACAAAATCCAGCAACTGGAGGGGATATCGGCCTGATAATATTCAAATTCGAGAATCGCCTGAGCCCCTCCAATTCATGTATGTGGCTAATCTCTCGAGCTTGTCAAGCGTTATGCCTCGGTCCCATTCTCATGCGTGGAGCACGAGGATGAACGCTGATATCATGGCCGAAAAAAGATTTCCCATTTTCCCACTTTTTTCCCTCACGGCAAGTTGAGCGACAGGTGGGCCAATCCCGGTCATCTCAATGGTCGAGATGAACGCAATCGTGCGGATTCGAGCCAGCTTCGTAGCCCAGCTCGGCCATCCCGTCCGTCCCCGTCTCTAGTGAAACATGGCATTCGGCGCCAGTCCAATTCCGCGCCGACTTGCTTCAAGCGTTCTCTGCCCTATGGAATGCCAGCAAAGTAAGCAGTGACACTTGGCCACTGAGTCGGGGGGCTCTATAGACTCTTGGAGTGTTGCATTTGTTGGTGGGCGGTGAAGCCAGGGGTTCTTTTCACTCCCGTCCCCCCCATGCAACGAGACGGATTTGGCATCCTCGTCCCGCGATCTTGGTCCATAATACTCTATAGACTGTCTGATAACGTGAAGGTACTTCGTTTAATGATTAGACGGATCTCATAGAATCAGTGCCGAAGAGACCGACTGATGAGACCATTCCCAGTGCGAATCTAACCAGAAACCAACGTGCCCGCCCACCGGCACCCACCCGTGTGCTACCACGGCGCCACCCACCTCCCAACCCATTGGATCCTAAGACTAAGGCCGCCAGGGTGGTTTAGTCCCGAGATCCGTCACCTGCGTGCATCTACGGCGCAGCAATGGACAGCTGCCGCCGTTATTACAGCGAATTCTCACAGCCCATTTGCCGGCCGTCGAGTTGCCCCATCCCGCTCCGTCGGCCAAACCGATGCTTTTTGCCCTCCCGCCCCGGGTCAAGGCAGTCAACGGGTTCGTTCGGCGGACATGACGCCGTGCGCCCGCCATTGATGATGGAGTCCTCTCGGAGTCCAGTGAGGTTTCCGTTGAAAGCGGCTGCCCGTTGTACGGAACACTAGAAAAGTACTCGTCCGTCAACGACTCATCGTCAATTCCACCACTGCCAACGCCAACGTAACCCCACGCGACCTTGCATTCCCTCTCGTACGTTCGTTCTCGCTTGCCTGTTTGCGGGGAACAGAGACACCATGACGCAGGGAGACGCCTTCTTGGCGCGTCAGTGTTCGAAATTGGAGCATGAGAGTTTAGGACTGCAGCGGCGCAGATCAGGAAAGGATCCGGTGCGCTGACACGTACACGAAGCTAGTTCCATGCAGGCCAGGAAGTGGGATGTAAGCACGAATTCACCGCCGGCCTTTGGACCCAAGCTCCCAACTCCTGCGGGACTAGGATGGAGTTTTGGATGTCGGGTTTCCTGGAGAATTGGTTGAATCACGATAGAGCCAATCGAGGTTTTTGTATTTCAAGTGCTGGTGCCAATATGTCTCAAAATGTGATTTACGCCATATGAGCTGAAGCTTTCGGGCTCTTTTGAGGGATTATGCATGATCCAGAGAGTGGTTCGATAACAGGGCAAACTCTGCATGAATTAACCTCCTCGATCGACATTTAGCCACAACCCAAACTATGGATGTCTCCGCGAGAGTTCACAATCGCAGCGCTACAGCTGCCTTTCGCAGGGAATTGTCTTCCCGCTCTAAATGCAACTAAGGCTTTCTCGAAGTCTAAAGCTATTGGATTGAGTGCGAAGCTGAGAAAATCTGCTTCATCGCCACCAGAGGTCGGTGTATCTGCCGAGAGCGAGCTCACCAGGCTCGAAAAGACCATGCACGGAATCCCAGCCGGATTTGAGCTGGGCTACGGGCAGCCATTTCAATCTAAGCCGTTCCACTTCGGCCGACTTGGCTTCGTCGGCCGGCAGCAAGCCACATCTAGACAAGGCCCGCTCCGGAGGCACCGTTCTTCGGCCGTTCTTGAAAACATATCTAGCAATTGACGATGCAAAGACAGCCTTCTGAGGATCTTTAGTCTCAATTCCTCCGTGTTTGTTCTTCTTTTCCCTCGGGCCTGGTTGCATCGCGTACTCCCCCGGCACGAATACATCTGCTTCGACAAAGTGTGACACGAGATATATCCACTTCTCGTCCCACGACAACACCCGCGTCCACAGCTCGTACTTTTCGTAAGGCGCAATCTCCCTACGCCAGACGCACTGTGCGCCGCCGAGGATCATGATGAAGTGTCTAGGTCCCGGGAACGGGTTGAAAGGTTCCCGGAAGAGCACCAGACTGATGTTGCCGCGAGACATGTCGAGGTCTGTGAAGTAAGTCGAGTTGGACTTGTGCATGTTGTAATCACATTCCAACAGCGGCGATCGCGTCGCGGAAATGGCTGGGAGGAAGAGGCATCGTGAGCTTAGGTGCTTCGGCGGCGCGGAGTCTGTCAGACGTCGGATAAAGGCGCGTAGGAATCGGATCTGCGAGATGTGACTTAGCTACGAGAACTCTTCGTGGAAGCTTGGTCAGAGGTGTCCGTTGTTCCCACTTACGGTCCAGACAAAGTGCCAGTTCTTGATGTTGGCGAGGGCCAATCCTATCAAGAATGATCTGACGCTTAGAAGCGACAAGGCCATCTGTCCGCAAGAGACCAAATCGTTCCAAAGACCCGCCATAGTCTACAACTCGTAGCGACTAGGGATATAGGCACTTCGACAGATTCTTGCTTGAATAGACCCCGTTGCTTCAGTGGGTTTGGAATGTTGCCGATCTCGATTTCCAGCGAGATTGTTCGTTCGCCCCTTTCGGCGTTGGACTCGATTAAATACCTTTGAAGTGAAGCTCCATCTTGGGCATTTCCATCTCTTCATTATTCTCAAGTATGAAAAACGACCCACGTTTGTTGGGATATCCTCTAGCTAGTTGTTGAGAGCTTCATCCATCGACAACTAAACTGAGTGCTCGGCGAGACCAAGTACATGCACCCCGCCTGGGAGCCTCAAGGAACGGCAACGGGTCATTGCCCAAAGTAGATGCCAAAGCCGCGTTGAAAATTGATGATTCTTGGTTTATACAGAAAGTTCTTCTGACGGAAAGATGGCCCCTTCGAGTCGAGAGACAAACGGCCCTCGGCTGGATGTGGGCCCTTGAGCTCAGGGTTGACTTGCATCAGATGGAGTAGCCCGTTCTGTGAGTTCAACATGGCTCAGCTAGACTCTTAGTAGAGTAACATTTATCGTTCGGCGGTGATTGCATCAAATTGAGGGCGTATTGCGAATGAGTATGGTTTAGAACGATTCACGAGCCTGCGGAGTTACCCAGATGAAACACAGTTGATGATTGCTAAATCTTCCTTAGGGGATGGCAACACTCTCATTGCCCGCATGTACCGAGGCCTTGTCGGGCTACGGCCTGAGTTTGAATAGACCAGGCTGGCTACACAAACCTTCCGGATTTGTTATATCAACCGCCATATTTCTGCGGTGCTGGAGTATCCAGACACAAAGTCATTGTTGATAACTATCAGAAACAGACCCTACATATAGCAACGTCAAATTGTGAGCCATTTGAATCAGAAGCAGTAACGACGGGTCATCTCACAATGTCTCATGCAACAGTTCCTCAGGTCCCGGACTCGTACTCGTCACTGAACTACAAAGACATCGTCGTCAGCCACGTACCCCACGATGCTCCGGCCGTTACCAAGGTCATAGTCGTGACTCTGAACCGCCCGGAGAGACACAATGCCGTCAACGGAAACATCCTAGAAGAGTTGGTCTCCGTGTTCAACATCATAGACGGGGACGACCGCGTCAGAGTTGTCGTCCTGACCGGCGCCGGCAAATCCTTCTGCGCAGGAATGGACCTTTCAGAGGGCCCAGGGGGGCTAATGAAGATCAAACAGAATCAAGATGCGATGAATCAGTGGAAAGATCCGTGAGTCGCGCCGCGTACCCTCGGCCCAAGATGCCAATTAACAATATCACCGCAGTGGTGGACGTGTAGCTCTGGCCATCTCAGAATGTTCGAAGCCAACCATCGTCGCCGTAAATGGAGGCGCTGCAGGGTTCGGAGCTACGTCAATCTTATCAGCCGCGATCCGAGTTGCCTGGCAGGATGCCAAAATCAACATGCCTTTTGCACGACGCGGATTGACGATGGAGTCCGTCAGCGCCTTTTACCTCCCCAAACTCATCGGCCTCTCAAAGGCAAACCACATTGTCACAACAGGAAGCACTTACACGGCCTCCGACCCCCTCGTTAGCGGACTATTTTCCAAGCTGCTTCCTACTCCCGACGAAACTGTAAGGTATGCCATCGAGCTTGCTACCGATGTTGCTGAGAATACTTCCATCATGAGTACCAAGCTGATGAGGGACATGATGCTGTATTGTCCTGATACACCGGAGGAGACCCATGACTTGGACTCCAAGGTGTTTATCACGTCCTTTGGGTCCAAGGACAACGTGGAAGGTCTGACAAGCTTCATGGAAAAAAGACAGGCAGAGTTTTCTGGGGAATTTGATAGGAGTGATTTCTCATTCTATCCTTGGTGGAAACCGGAGATACTTAGGTCGAAGATCTGAAGGCATGTCACGCGCTGGCTTAGTTTCAACTTTCTACGAACGCAAAATTGAAGATTATAACTTCCATTTCGTTCGTATCACAATGGATCTCATTTGTAATATCGTCTAAATCACTACTCTGATTTCACACTTTGCCTTGCCATGGGAGAGTCTCGGATACATGTGATGATTCTATGAATTTGGTAGCCATGACAAGCAACGGCCCACCACCCAATGGGCGCTTAACCATTAATCCTGCTCTCATAGTCAAGTTCTTCACTTAATTAAGGGCCGATTTACTCCGTAATTATTGTACTATCGCTTCATACTCTACTCGCTCATTTCGGCATGTTTCCGAACGTCGAGCTCATATTATAACACAGGATTCGTTATCTCTCATATCCGTACGGATACTTGAGATTGTCGAGAGCCGTCTTGACTCTTGCATGTGCTTCTACCAAAGCGGCCCAAGTGCCGAGGGACCTCGGCTCGGCAAGATGTGGGGCACATTTCATCGCGACTCGCCGCTTGGGGGGCGGACGCGTTGCCCGGGGACTCGGATTTCCTACGGACACCTCAACATTTCTAGTCCCACAGCCCGGGAGCTTATCGGTCTTTCGATAAGAGTAGTCCATTGAATCTGGCCGAAAGCCGGTCGTGCGTTTTGAGTGCCTTGGGTGACGTTGGCCGGCGGGATGAGAGGGCCAGACAAGGGCATTCGAAGCTGCTTGAAACTAGGTTTCGGTCTGTTCGAGAAGTTCTTGGCCCGAGAGGCTGAGCTGATGCTGGACGTGTCATTTATCGTGGGTATGGTGCAACTTCGGCTCGTGTTCACGGTTGACATTGTAAAAATTTCGCCTGTAATGAGATAATGAACTGAATCATGGCAGACTGAAATCATCGAGCGTCCATAGCCTGTCCATAGTCTGGATATCCAGCCAAGAATCGGTACTGCCAAAGAATCAGAACATGTACAGTTTTCAACCCGAGATAAAAAAGACTCACTGGGTCCCCGATATAGAGGCATTATCAGCGTATGCATTCGGTAGTGGACTCCACATGTCCGATATGATGCCCGCGGTGCCCAGTCCATAACCATCAGGCCAGCTCGCGAACGCGCTCGTATCCGGCGTCAAGGCAGCAGCAGCCGGAGATGGCTGATGCTGCTCGTGAGGCGGCGCGTTATCTACCTTGTTGATGGCCGTTTCGAAGAGCTTATATGATGCATCGGCCGAGATGTAGGACTTGCGCATCTCGTCCATGGCGACCATACAGAGGGCGAGGTTATGTCTTCCCATTTGGCGCGCCATTTGTTTTGACGAAGTTGATTCGAAGAGGTGGATTTGCATTGGCGGGACGAGGGCAATGACTCTGGAAAGCTGGTTAGTGAACCTGGGACCAGGATATCATTGCAGAGGTCGGGGTTCGTACGTGATGGTGTGGCAGAGTCGGATCAGGTCTTCTGCCATCATGGAGTTCATCGCTGCGCTTGCGTTGGACGCAGCAGTCCTCGTCTTTTGGCATGCAAAAGTCCTCCAACTTCCTTGGTCTGCTGCCAGGATCTCTCTCGGGGTATCGAGTATGAAAGGCCGATAGAGTACGATAATGGATGTTCTAACTTGTGTTAGATGCTCGCCCTCGTTCAATCTCGCGGATTGATTCGGTGGGCACTTACTCAAAGTATAGCTTGAACTGGTAGATATGAGATGCGACAACTCGACTGTGACTTCCTGCTTCAGGCACCCGATACTGAAAACCACGAATCTGATTTTCGCTTTGCTCAATCTCCAACCTTGACGGCTTCATCCCTTTGGCCCTATAATTCGTCGCGAGAACATTACTAAGGGTGACACTCAAGCCAATGAAAGCCAGCCAGGTATCGAACAGAAACTGCATCTCTTCAGGAAGATACTTCTGACCAAGTTGGCCCTTGACCTCGGGCGTCAGGACGTCAGCGTCGCTCGCAGCCGGCATAGACGTGTCAAAGTCATCAAGGGCTATCCGCATAGGTCTGCCGAGTCCCAGAGAAAGCCATACCTCTCGCGAGTAGAGAGACCACCAGAGACGTTTCCAGAACGGCTTCGTACCTTGAGACGCTTGTTGGTTCGCGGGCATGTGCAGGCGGTGAAGACCGATCGTGTGAGAGAGGCTGATGGCGATGCCGTTCCAGTGCCAGGGCCCGGCTCTGTCGTCTGTGCTGGTGTACCAGTGGCCCATTAGGAAGACGGACTGGATGAGTGTCACCTTGTCTTTTTCGTAATCTGCATCGTACATAGCCTGCAACATGATTAGCTCCTGTTTGCGGTGACGGAACACCGGAAGGGGAGCCGACTTTCGCTCTTTGGTACATGGCTCGTTTCAGAGCCTTTCGCGAGGGAAAGAAATCTTCCGTCAGGAAACTTTCGTCAACAAACTGTGGTAAATGTCAGCTATGCCTAGTAATGAATGATAGCTCATTTGTGTCGTTGACCTACACTCGCGGCCGCGATGAACATGCTCCAGAGCAGCAACAGGCTTTTTCTTCCCTTTTCATACTCGGTGATAAACTCGCTCGCATCCAGGATCGGTGCAAATGGGTGCACATAGTGAAAGTAGCACCGGATCATCGCCTCGCGGATATGGGGCGGAGGTAGCGTGAAGGCGCCCTTCATCCTGAGATAATTGACATCTTCTGGCGAGAGGGCCTTGATGGATGGCATCGGCACTAGGAAATGGTTGTCTTTGGATGACCTGTTGGGTTCACAGATATCGATCAAGAAGGCCGGGCCACGTTGATCTCCTGAATGAATGAATGTCAAGAGAAACCCATCTCGAAGCTATGCTTGATGCATCAAGGTACCAAGACAGAGGACAGCTTACCTGGGTAGAACGGGACGCAGCCATCCTCGCGATTCTTACCACCTTCCAGTGTCTCTGCATACGCGGAGCTGTCCTCAGTGGCATCGGATGGATCCGGTGGCCGGTGACCTTTGGCTGGAAGCAGAGCACGCACGGCATCGTAAGGCCGAGTGGTTGGAGCGGATCGCCCACTGCCAACCGATCGTGTCTCGGCTGCGCGTGGGGACGTCGACGACCTCGGGCCACCGTTGACTTGGGGTGTGGTGCGCCGGTGATCTTCGGGCGGCGCGGATGTGACCCGGTCGTCCCTCGACTCGACGGCCTCCTCATTCTCTAGGGTACCCGACAATGGCCCCGGGGTCTGGGGTTCCACGAGCCGTCTTCTGGGTTGTGCTCTTTGTGAGATGAGGATTAACGTGTTCTCCCCACCTCCTCCGGGGGATGGGTTCATGGGGAGTTGATCCGAGTTGCTGTTTCGTTAGGACAACTCACCAACATGGCCCCGTACGGCAGCAAATTATAGAGACCGGTGACCAGAAGACTCACCGACGTCGTTTACGACTAAGGACCTCGCATGTAATCCCGTCCACAGAGCAGTTGGCGCAGGGAGGGCCAGATAAGGTGACTGTGCATCTCACCTTGCGCAGGTTGCAAGCCTTGCACGCTACAGCGGCACGCTTGAAAGTTCGGACTGCCGCTGCAGAGGGAGGGGAGGAACCCGTAGTGGTGGCCATGACAGAAGAGTCATTGTGCTGTAGAGACATGTTGTGTACCTTGCTTGCAGCCTTCGCTGGAGTTAAAGGTGTAGAGTGAGAAACGTTATCGTTATCATCAGGTGAGAATCCCCTTTGCTCTTTGGCCTTCATGCATGCTAATTCATCAAGGTTAGGTTTTCCCCATTCTCAATGGAACCAGTCACTTGTCTAAGGCAAGCTTATGTGGGGGACGAATGCTCTTGATGGGTGGGAGGTCAACAGCAGCTCAACATCTGTAAGTGAAGTGAATGAACGTGCTTGTGCTAGTCAGTCGACCGAGGATGTGGATTAGGTAATATTGCAGGTGGCATGTGAGAAGAATCGGGGTCAACGGAGCTGTCCACTTGTTGTTTGTTTAGTTACACACACAGTGTTCATGCGCTCCCTCATTGTTGATTTTGTTCTGCAGAATGCGGGGGTTTAAGATTGTCCGAGGACAACTTTGAACTGCCGGTTGCGACCTTGGCAAAGACTTTTACGGGAACGGTTAGGGCGTTTGTTCATCCTGGTCGCGTCCTTGAACCTAGTGCAATCGCGTTTCGTACTCACTTTAGAGAAGCTAAGTTGTGTTGTAGAGTTAGCAAGAGAGCATAAGCCGCACGACAGTGTCATTTTCTTTAGCAGGCTAGTGATGAATGGTCCAGAACGTCATATCATTATTCAATTATCCTCTATACCCGTAAGCCATGTCCATAACCATATCCGTAACCCATTAGTCGTAATATCGTGTTCCCATCGTGTGTGTATCCTACGCCCAATGCACCGACTTTCTCTGCTTCTTCTTCATGCCCAACTCCTCCGGCACGCGCAAACGAGCGTCCGCAATCACCATACCAAACGTCAAGCTCGACGCGCGACTATGCGTACAGACAGTAGCAGTCCCGTCAAGCTCCCACTCCCACCGCGTCTTCTCAACCATGTCCCCGGCCTTCCGGAGCTTCTGCCTCCACCCCTCTACAAACAACCACGCCAGACGAAAAACGCTCTCGCCAGAGGGCTCCACGGGGACGCCGCCTCTTTCCTTCTCTTCGGGGTTCCAAGGGACCGGGACTCGCAAGCCGCTCGGGTCTCTGCGGTACTTGCGTCGCTTCGGACGATGCCGGTCGCCCGGCTCCTCCATGTTCACGTCCTCTTCCCACTCATTGTACTCGGCGTCCCGCTTCACCCTCACGACTCTGAGCCCCGCTCCGCCCGAGCGTGGTCAATTTGCCTCCAACCCGCCAGCAGAGCTTCGTAGGAGTGCGCTCTGCTCGTCAGCCTCGTCTTCGGCTTCGTTGAGAAACCCTGCTTTGCGGTCGTATCCACGGTCCTCGACGTCATCGCCCCCGGGCTTGCTGCGCCGGACGGGGTGAAAAACACCCGACACCGGCCGTGATCGGACTGGACTGGCCGGCTCTTGCTTGGTTTGGTTGTTCTCAAAGATGCCGCGCATTCTGCTGATCAGACTTCCAGGTGAGTTGTTGTTCGTAGCAGCCGCGTTCCGCGGAGGGCTGTCTGAACTGGAGCCTACGGAGCCGGATGGTGCACGGGCTGCCTTCGCCGCCTCCTCACTATCTCTGAACGGATCATATTCCTCGCGGTCGGTGAGAGAAGAGTCGTTGCGCGGCCTCGTCAAGTGATGAACAGAAGCCGGCCACGAGTCCCGAATGACCGGCTCGTGCTTGTCAGCGTGCAACGCCGAATGAATCGGTGACGACGCCACGGAGTCGAGGGTACTCTGGCTTCGCATCGAGTGAGGAACCGAGTCGTTGCGAGCGTGCCAGGGGACGTTGGTCACATCGCGCGGGACCATGAGCTCGGGATCAAAATCTGCTTCGGCTTGCATAGTGGGCGGTGTCTGTGGCCGGTCAGGATTATGCCTGCTGAACGCAAGTCCACGAGAGGGTGTAGACTGCGACGACGCCGAGGGTGTCGCCGGTGACTCCTCCTGACGCAACGCTAAGGGGCTGATGTCCGGTGCTTGCTCACTTTGCTGTGGTGCCAACTGCGGAGTTGTCTGCTCATGTTCCTCTTCCGCCTGTACCTCGGAGACTTGCACTTCGGGCTGCCACGAAGTTGTTTGTCCGTACTGTGGCTGAAGTTGTGCTTGTCCATAGGATTGGGCGTCGAATTGGTCTTGATCAAACTGACCTTGACCGTATTGCTGCTGGGCAAGGGCGTCTTGCGCGTGATACTCGGCTGACTGTTGTCCATAAACGTCCTGGCCATGCATTTGAGCTTGCTGTCCGCCATATGATTCTTCAACCTGGGTATTAGGCTCGTAAGCGGACCGCAGAGGAGAAGAAAGACCAGCAGAGGCTTCTCGGTGAAGTGATTTCTGCACCTCCTCCCTCAACAGAGACCCAGAGCGGCTGTGCCTTGTAGCACCGAACATGGTGGGCGAGCGAAGCTCATCCCGCCAAGTTGAAGCTCCAAAACGGGAAGAGGCATATTGTGTGGGGTGCTCAGCCGGCTGCATGACCGCAGTCTTTGGGCCATCATCTTCATCGCTGCCGAACGAGTCGATAAGTTGCGTTAACACAGGCTCGTCTGATGACTGTTGCTGCTGCTGCTGCTGCTGCTGCTGCAGTTGCTGCGCAGTGCCGATCTGGGTGAGGAATGCTGGGGCTTCCGAGTGGTCATACTCGCTATCATCGTCGGAGTCGTCATCCTGAGCAAGCTCGTCGGCGAGTGAAGTCTCATGAGCTTGAGCATACGGAGACATTGCTCCTCCTCGGTTGTAAGTCTGGTCGTAGATGTCCTTGTTGCCGATGGAATCCGGGTGACGGGGCGAGCCCATGGCCCCTTGCGTATACTGCGAAGACGCGCTGAACCCGGCCGATGCCAACGGAGTGGCGTACTCTTGTGAGTCAGAATCCGTAAAGTCACCTGGTCCTGCTGGCTGGAGGTATGTCGATGCCGTGGAAATCTGGTCGTTGCTCGCGTTCGGCCACTGCTGCTCGTAGCTATCGACGCGCAGCTGTGGTGTCGGCATGGCGGTGCTGAACCTCTCGTCGACTGGGCTGATCTCATCACCGCCGCGCTTCCCAATGTTCTCCCATGAATCATCGCTTTCTTCCCCTCCTTCTTCTCTTTGATGACTTTGTAGGCCCTGACTGCTTGTTGCCGGCACCGAGTCCCTGAAAGCTGACTCCATCGGGTTGCTCTGCGTCATCGGGCTGGCTGACCTCAACGGACTTGTCGAGGCCAAGGGACTGGAAGCCCTCATCGGGTTGGTCGCCGCCAACGGGCTCGTCGCTTGCAGTGGGCTGACGGCTCTCATCGGACTCGCGCCCAGCGGGCTTGCTGATCTCGTCGGGTCGACTCCCATCTGGTTGGTCCCCATCAGGTTGCTTTCTCCCATCATGCTCGTTGTCTGGCCATATCGATTAGCTTCCCATGCCTCCTCATTCTCCTCGCTGTCGGAATCTTCGAGTTCATGACGGTAACGACCCAGTGCGCTGGATGTGCGCGGAGGCGGAGGCGGAGGCGGGGTCGCCCTGAACTGCGACGTCGATAGATTTGGCATCTGACCGGGCCGAGCGGCATTCGAATCCCAAGCATCCTCGTTCTGTTTGTCACTGGAATCCTCAATCTCCTGGCGGTATTGACCCCGAGAGCTTGATACCCGCGGAGGCGGGGGCGGGGGCGGTGTAGCCCTAAATTGAGATGATGATGAAATGGGGAACTGACCAGGTCGAGCAATGTCGTGGCTAAAGGGGTGTTCGTCCTCACTTGAGTCCGCTTGCTCTTGATGATAGAAGCCTTGAGAGCTGGGGACACGCGGCGGTGGTGGTGGCGGCGGAGTCGCCCGATAACCAGATGGTGAGAGCGCACTGGGCAGAAGATTGGACTGGACAGCGGCAGGGGGCAAGACACCTTGATCTTCCTCGTCTGAGTCTTCAATGTTGTAGCGGCTCTGTGACAGGGAACTGGGGGCACGGGGTGGTGGAATCGGAGGTGGACGCGGGGGAGTAGATCCGAACTGCGAGGTCGGGAATGTGCTGGGCTGCATGGGCTCGAAGGCGTCATCCCAGTCGGCTTGCTCCTCTTCCGAGGAGTCTTCTAGTTGATGCTGACCATAGTAACCCTGTGAACTTGGCGCGCGCGGTGGTGGAGGAGCTGGCGGGGTTGCCCTGTACTGCGATGATGAGAGGGGATTCAGCCGTGCTGGAGATTGCGCGTGGAAGATGTCGCCGTCGTCCTCAGATGAGTCTTCAACTTCTTGCGCATAGTGACCCTGTGAGCTAGAGACACGCGGAGGGGGAGGGGGGCTTGATCTGTACGGGGAAGATGTCAACAAAGTATTGATCTGGCTGGGCTGAGGAGCGCGAGCATCCCAGTCCTCCTCTTCTTCAGAAGAGCCGTCGAGCCCTTGACGGGAACGCTCTGCGATGCTTGGCAGAGGAGGAGGAGCTCGCTGTTGCGAAGCTGGCAACTGCTGGGAGGTGGTCAGACTTTCTGGCTCCTCAGAGTCGGAATCCATATCCTCTAGTTCACTGTTGTATCGCTCTTGGATGCTATCCAGAGTGGCTGGAGCAAGGTGCTTGGCCGACAAAGGGCTGTTCTCTTGAACAAACTGCTGGGAAGGATCCATCATCCCTTGACCCACGACGTCGTGCCCTCCAACGACGGAAGGATAGCCTTGGTCGAACATGGACTCATCAACGTCACCACCGACAGTGCTACTCCTGGCGCCGAATGGGTTGTAAGCGGCATCAGGCTGAGCTTGTCCCAAAGTGCTCGCGGTGGGCAGGAAGCTCTGGTCAGACGCAGTGCTTCGGGCGAAGGGATTGTTGTACATTGACTCGGGGACCTGCGGCGTGGGCTGCCGGCGCTCGATTGACTGGGCTGCGGAGGCGAAGCCGTCATTGGCAACTTCGGGTGATTGATTGACAGGGAAAAGGTTCTTGTACGTGGACTCTGCCGCCATCATGGCCTCCTCATCCTCGGAGTCGCTCTCTTCTGCCAGTGGGTAGCTCTGCTGCGGTGTCGTGCTCCGAGCGAACGGGTTGCTTGGTGCGCGTTGTCGCCCGGGAGTGCTCAGGGCTGGTGAAAAGCTTCGATCGATTGGAGTCGTACTTCTAGCAAAGGGATTACTGGAGCTCACGCTATCACGGCGGAGTCCTTGAGCACTAGGAGATCGAGCGAATGTCTCTTCGGGAGAAGAAGGCTGATGGTTACTTAAAGCGCTCGCGGACCGCAGGAAATCTGCACCAGTGGGCGTGCTGCGTGCAAACGGGTTGGTCGAGTCCTCCTGAGGCTCTCTGCTTGGGCTCCTTGCGAACGGGTTGGTAGTCTCCCGGGGAGGCTCTTCCTCGACCACCGTCTGCAATGCAAAAGGATTGTACGGTATGTCTTGCGAATGAAACGTCGGCTGCGCGTGGGCTGTGGAACCAGCTCTGGCCCTGGTGAACGGGTTGTAAGAGGTCTCTGCAGGCTCATCGGCATCGCTGTCCTCGTCTCTAACACTGAGAACTGGAGAAGAATCGCCGTCATCTTCCTCTTCGTTGAAGTGAACCTGTCTGACTCCAAAGTGGCCGTCATAGAACGTAGCACCAGGCGTAGAGCTCTCTTGTTGTTGATCTTGAACGTGGCTATCGTCCGTAACCATGCCCTTGGGCTCAGTCATATAAGAACTCTCGATAGCTGCGTCCGGGGCTTCAGAGACATTCCGGCTGAGAGACTCGGGATGGACATCTTCGTCGGTCTTTGCAGCTAAACCAGAGGTGTCGCCGGCTGCGGATGCAGCAGGCTCAGTGTGTTCAGTGATCACGGAAAGATCGGGCCCACGAGACTGATCAGCCTCATTGGCGCCAGCCTCATCGTGAGGCGTCTCGACAATTTCGAATTCGCCATGATCGGAGTCATGCTGAGTGATATCATTTTCCACGTCGAATCCATGACCAGGTGAAGCCTTCATTGCCGCATCAGCGTCGTGGTCGTCGTCGTTGTGCTCATGGTGGTCTCCGGATTGACTGACATCATGGACTTCGGCAGGCGGTGATTCGGGCTCCCCAGGAGAGACGCTACGCTCGTGAACGTCTACTTCACCTTCATCTCCGTGGACTGTCTCTGGGGCGACATCTGTTTGGCTATCGACGACTTGCGAGTCCTCGAGATCCTTGTCTTGCTCATCTGGTTTGGGGTCGCCCGAAATGGCTGGGTCCTCTTTCACAGAGCCATGCTCGTTCGATACACCTGTAGTGGGTGCTTCGTCGCTTGCCGTCGCCGCTGCCTCTTCTTCAATAGGTGCGGGGCTATCCGCTTGAGGAGCTGCCTCCTCCGCCGACCGCAGAGTAACCTCGGCGTGTTCGAACTCCTCCTTGTCATCATCAACAGCAGAAGACTGGGGTTCTTCGGCATCGGCATGGACATCGCCAGCAACAGAGTCATGTGCCTCGATAGCGACAGACTCATTTGGAGAGGCATCAGGGGCTGCAGGAGTATTTTCCTTTGAACCATGCTCAGCTGGAATTGAGTGAACCTCAACCTTCTCATCCTCGACGTGACCCTCTGAGTCAGCAGCTTGCGCCGCAACTTCATCAGCAGCAACAGCCTCCGTCAAGTCAGAGTCGGCAGGGGCGTCGGCGGTGGCGTCAGAAGGTCCAGCAGTGGAATCGTCCGCAGCTGCGTCAACGATACCACCAGCGAGTTGTTCTTCTGGCGGATCTGAAGCGTCCCGGTGTTCGGAATTTCCATCGTCAAGATCTTTGCTGGCAGTGGTTGGCTCAGGCTCTTCCTCCTCTTGGGTTGTCGGGGGTGCTTCACTGACTTCGGCTTGTGTCTCTTCAGGGTCGGGCTGAGCTTCAACAGCGTCAACTGTGGGGGACACCGCAGGCTCGTCGATTTCCTTGGCTGCCACTGTATCTGCATCCGTGACTGGGGCGGTTTCTTCGGCTTGATCCTCGTTGGCATCATGGACCTCGACGTCCGCAGTGGCCGGTGCTTCGGTGCTTGGCTCTTCAGCAGGTGCATCCTCCTCGGCTGTGAGATTGTCCTTGATAGGCTCGCCTTCCGGAGAGGCGCGGGCAATTTCTTTGTCTTCTTCAACTGTAGCTTCATCGTGAACAGTTGTGGTATCTTGAGCTGCAGGTTCCTCAGACTCGGCGACTGGCTGATCTTCAGCGGTAGCTACCTCGGGCACGGCATGACCTGAATCGGTAGGCTCATCCGCTGCCTCAGTGGGAGTCACATCCTGGGCGACCTCGGGGTCATCCACGGCAGCTGCCTCAACAGGGTTCTCCTCGGCAACCTGCTCGTCAACTACCGGTTGGACAGTCGCTGCATTGGTCGTCACCTCGTCGGCAGCTTGCTCCGGAGCAGGTGCGTCAGCTTCTGGCTCGGGCTTGTCTTCTGCTGAATCCACTTTTTCGACGGGCATTGCTTCAGTTGAAGCCTCATCGACAGGAGTCTCTTCGAGAGTTGGTTTCTGCTCAGGCCCAATCTCCTCTGAACCAGGAACCTCATCATGGCTGGGAGTAGCATCCGCCGCCTCTTCTTCAAGGGTAGCCTTCTCACTGGTGGAAGTCTCGTCTTCAGCAGAGCTACCGTCTGTTGCTCCGATGTCTGCAGCAGCTGCCCCATCCTGAGCATGAGCTTCTTCTTGTTCTTCAGGTGCTGCATCAACAGGAGTTTCCATTTCCTTCGCGTCCTCGGTCACAGGTGCAACCTCGGGTGGTTCCTCACTCGGCTCTGCAGTTTCGGCCGCTCCATCTTCTGCTGATGTGGTCGCAGCCTCCACAGAACCAGCGTCCTCTGGTGAGACGGCTTCACCTTGAGCTGGCTCCTCGGTGGCTGAATCTTCATCAGGAGTCGTCTTCTCAGCTTGAGGCGGCGCATCCTCCTCCTGAGACGTGGGCTCTTCTTGACTTGGCTCTACTTCAACAGCCTTAGAATCGACCTCCGGAGACGCATCTTCCTCGGCCTGGTCCGCCTCGGGTGCAGCTTCCTCTTCGACGGGGTCGCTGCTATCTGGAGCCTGAGCTTCCTCTGCGACCGAGTCATCCTCGACAGCCTTCATCGAGAACTCGGGCAATGATCTCTCCCCTGGAACCTCGTCGGCACCCGTATCTTCAGCCTCTTCGCCTGCTTGCTTTGGGGTATCATCTTCCGCACTATCGGGGCTCGTTTCAGGCGTGGCTTCGTTAACTAGGGCATCCTTTGCCACGACTTCTTCTGGCTCAGCCGCATCTTCACTTGCGTCAGGTGCTGACTCGTGAGAAGCAGCTTCAACAGGTGTCGTCTCCTCCTCAGGATTCTTGATCGCTTCGTCAGCGGGTTCAACGGGCTCGGCAGACGCGTCGTTGTGGCTGGGAACATCGGCCTCAGTTGCCGCAGGTTCCTTCGCAGAGATACTGTCTTCGGATGCCTTGGGTTCCTCCGCCGGTGCAGAGTCCTCAAGTTCGGCACCTGGCGCAGCTTCTTCAGCGATTGGCTCTTCAGCGGATGCATCCTCGGCGATAGGCACCTCCTTGGAGGCATCATCTTCCGGGGCGTCCGGCGCTGCTTGGACTACATCGGAGGCTTCCTCATTAAGAGATTCTTCGGAGGGGGCCTCGTCAGCGGCGACATCTTCCTTTGGAGGTTCCTCGGCTGAAGCCTCTACGGCCGGGGCCTCCTCGTCGGCAGCTGGTTCCTGTGAGGTTGCTTCTGCAGCTAGGGTTTCCTCTGTCGAAGCCTTCTCGACAGCGGGTGCATCATCTTGAGGTAGTTCATCCACAGGAGGCTCCTCAGCTGCCAGATCCCTAATAGCTGCAGCCTCTTCCACTGTGGGTTCTTCTGCCGGTTCCTCTGCCTGGGTTTCTTCCACCGGAATTGCTTCTGTCGGGGCTTCATCTATCGGAGCCTCCTCAGTTGAAGCAGCTTCTGCTGCTGACTCTTCGGCGGCGGGAGCCTCATCTGCAACAGTGTCTTCCTCACCAGCCGCCTCTTCGGAAGCTTTCTTGTCCTCAGCCGGACTGTCTTCGGCGGGGGTCTCTTCCACTGCAGGGTCCTCTGTGGTTGGCTCTTCGGTAGATGGCTCTTCGGCGGGCTCTTCTGACGTGGCGGGAGTGTCTTCTGCGGGAGCGTTGACGATAGCGGGGGCGTCTTCAGCAGCAGGTGTCTCTTCAACAGCAGGCGCCTCATCCGCAACAGTGCCTTCCTTCACAGCCGCATCGTCGGGAATCTCCTTGTCCTCCGCTGGAGTATCTTCAACAGGAGTCTCGTCCACAGCAAGCTGCTCTGTTCCTGGCTCATCAGCGGCGGGAGCATCCTCGGCGATGAGAGCTTCTTCTGGGGCAGGACTTTCTCCAGCAGACGGAGCTTCTTCGGTCAAAGGCTCATCCGCAGGCTCTTCTGGTGGAGGGGTATCATCGGCTTGATCTGCTGTCGCAGGCTCCTCGGTTGCCGCAGGCTCTTCTGTTGCTGGCTCTTCGGTAGTAGGCTCCTCAGCAGCAGAAGCCTCCTCGACAGGCGCTGTTTCCGGGGTCTCTACAGCCAAGCCCCTGACCTCGACCGTATCATGCTTCTCGTCGTCGGCAGCGGCATCTTGGGCTTCAGCAGGAGCCTCTGCAGAAGCTTCCCCGCTATTAGCCGGGGCGCTCACTTGGCTGTCCTCGGGAACAGCTGCGCTCGCGGCGGCCTCCTCCTTCTCATTTTCCGTGGGCGCGGGCTCGGAAGCCTCTTCTGGTGCGGCCGCCTCTGCGACAGGCTCGTCCTCAGGAGCCTTCTCGGCCTCGGCCTCAGCTTCAGCTTCAGCTCCGGGGGCCGGTGCCGTCTCCTCCTCGGCAGGCTGTGCCTCCTCGGTGCTAGTGGCATCCTCCAAGCTCTTTTCAGCCACAGGTTCTTCGGGTTGTGGCTGGGAGTTATCACCTTCGGGAGTCTTATCTTCCTCGACCGGCGCATCGGCCGGCGGCTCGGGAGCGGTATCCTCGGCCTTCTCTTCGGGCGCCGCACCGTTCTCGGCGGGCTTCTCCTCGTCTACGCTCTTGTCCCCTGCAGCCGGTTGGGCTGGGGTTTCGGGCGGAGGTAACGGAGACGGTTCCGCGGATAGTGCGGCACCGGATCGCCGCCCTGTTCTCGCGCGTTTTCGCGTCGGGACGGGAGGCACCGCGGCCTTCATCTGCTCCTCGATCATGCGGTTGAGTTCCTGGAACGCAAGTAATGTCAGATGCTGCCAGGGTTCGGGAAGATTCACCAGTCCTGCTTACCGTTCTCTTCGCCTCGAGTTCTGCCAACTTTGCTTCGCCCTCAGAAATCGTCTTGGCCGTCTCTTCCTCAATGCTGTCCATGAGGTCGTCCATTTCGTCTTCGACATTACGGGTAGTGGTATCAAAAGTGCCTTGCTTCTCTTCGTCCTCCTTGGCCTTGCGGGCCGCGAGCTCCTCATCTTCCCGCCGGCGACGGGCCTCCCGCTCTTCGTCTTCTTTTCGCCTTTGCTCGGCAATGTCTTCGAGCTCCTTCTGGTGCGCGGCCGCGAGCTCTTCTCGCTCTTTTTCGTAGGCTGCTTTCAGCTCCGCGAGCGTCATGTCACGCTTCTGCTCGAGCTCGTCGAGCTTTGTGTCGCTCTCCGCTGCAAATGTTGACAGACCCTCAATCGTCGAGTGGATCGACGCGAGGGCCTCGTTCATCTGCGCCACGAGCGTGGCAACGTCCATCTTGGCTGTCATCGAATCGGGGGTTCGAAAGAGAGTCGGCGCCCTCTGCGACAGGATGATGAGTAAAGGTGTTGTGATCAATTGTTTGTGCGTGGGATTTGGACAATGCCGGGAATCTTGCGTGGGAAAGCAAGTATCGTGAGGTTTTGTGAATTTGACTTTACTCTGACGTTGAACTGAACGTTCGAAACATCCTCGGCTCTTGCGGGGTGGCCAGCCAGTTTACGATATATACCACCCACCCTTCAACTCGACCACCAAAGAACAACAAGCAGACGATACAGTTCCAGCCAAGCGACAAGGCAGGAAAACCCGGCCCTGTGTGATGTTCCTACCAGCGATCATGCAAGTGCTTTCGTCCAGGGCCTGGCCTTGTCCCCCCTTAGTCGGCCGAACCCCCGACCCGATATTGAGAGGGAATGCTCTGTGCTTCCGCGTCCCTCCGTTCCGTGATTGGTGAGACATCGCGGCGGACTCCCATCCGATGTACCTGGACTTGCTGAGGTGGACCCCGTCCGCCTCACAACGCATGACATCGATATACTGTGGTGCAGATGGCGATGTCAACTAGGGGCGATGCGAGGGTGCCATGGCCGAGTCAAGACTTCTCGACGGGGCCGCAGCCCAGCAACCGGTCATCGCGAAATGGCACCGCCATCGAAGAGGGGATTGGGGAACAGAACTAGACAACTCTGTCTTGTGGGCAGTTTTCGCCTTGTCGCCGGGCAACCTGGTGACAGCTGTCAAATATCGACAGCATCCTCCTTGCCTCGGGCGAGAGTTTTCGGGGGGCTTCATCCAAGGGTTTCCGTGTTCCTGCGTCTGATGTTGTGCCACGACAACTTGGTCATTGGGGACATGGAAATAAAGGACCCATCTTGGGCTCCGGTGCTTTGGTCGTCGAGAGAAATCGACGTGGTGTGCGTTGGCGACGGAGTCGGTTTTGGTGGACAGGCGTTCCCTGTTAGAAACGAGCATCATTCATGCGCCCGGCAGCGAAGGGGTATTGAGAGTTCTGAGCGTCGCTCCATCACTACCACTGGCGTGGAGCCCGGCGTCTAGCAAACCGCTTGGCCGCATGAATACGCTGGAAATGGCCGGTATTGTGATGCATTTGGGCAGTTTCAGGACTCGCACCGGATTCGGAACGGGAGGACAAGTTGCCAAATTGAAGGATGATGTCGGATACTGCCGGCCACAAGAGTCCATTTGAGTAGTATTGGCCTCCGTGGTTGAAGCGTGGTTGAAGCGTGGAATTCAACGAGGGATACGAGGACTCAAGCCACATTGTGGCTTCAACAGCCAAGCATCGAAATAGACACAAAGGCACGAAATAGCATGACGTCATGTCTTGATGGCTAGGATGGGTCAAACATGTGAGTGAGTCTGCGTATGTTTTTCTCCGTGTTGTTTTTGTTTTCCTTAATTTGATATATCGCAAACCTTCTCTGCCCAACGTGCCCCCATCAACCCAGACCACGAGGCTAGCTAGCACGTAACTGAGCTCCATTTCTGCGTTGTCCTCAACGTGATTCAGCAATCGAGATCAGAGCTGGCGTGGCATCGCACTGGCCCTCCTGTGTCTTGAGCCGAACTGGGAGCCGACGCTTCACGACCAAATGTATCTCTCAACTAAATAGAAAGGGACGCAACATCATTTGACTTCAGCTCTCATCAAATTGTGACGATATTGAGGCCTCCTGGGTATATAAGAGCTACACTTATGGCAATAATCCCATTGCATGCGAAAGCCAATTCATCAATGAAATGACTTTTTATGGTCCATCACCTGCACACCACCACACACATTGACCAATTACAGGTGCAGTAGGTCTCTCTTATGTGTTATGGTATGATGCGCCTCCAAAGTCCTGCAGGGTAGCTGCTGGCAGACATAGAGTGGGTGATATGGGGATCAATTGGGCCTATCGCATTCCAGTGTCTTTGTCCTGGAGTCTGAAGAGGGGGCAGATATCCTCACTGGTCAAGTCACATGTCTGTTGATCACTGGGTCGGGACTTTCGAAGGCGGTTGATTGAATGTGCTCAGTCATATATCCCCAAAGATGGTCGTCGTCTGCTCTCAGAACCAACCGAGTATTACTACTTCAATCTCACTTGTGACTGTAAGGAAAGGCAAAGAATCTAGATCGGGAAGGGTTTCAGTGGAACTTCGTCCTTGTCAAAGTGTACTTGTATATCCCATGTCTATAAACATCAAAGTGGATATCATATTGATGCTTGAATTGTGAATGTCAAGTCTTAATAATCTTCAATGAATGGTATGGGATCAACTCTATTGAACATGGAATTCTCTCTTTTTGAAAATCCTTATTGCTCTTTCAGAAAGTGTATCGTACCTACGTCCGATAATCGGCGTCTTTCTGCATCCAAGGCATTGACTTCTGTGCATGATGGCTCTGATTGACCGAGCCCTCACACTGCCAGAGACGCTGTGAGACTAGACAAGGAATCAGGGGGACATCAAATTATCAAACTGGATTTGCATGTAAATCAACAAATGCCAGCTAAGCCAAACAATGATGAAAAGTAGATGCCTTGGAAGGCGCAAAGTGCAGCTCATGCAAAGACAATTGCTACATAGAGATGGCCATTGGCCGCGAGATCTCACATAATGACGAGATACTGGACCGTCTATGCTGGGTAGCTGATTCGAGCTGGCTCAGTAAGTACTAGGTCGCTCGTAAAATGTGAACTCGGTAAGATTTGATTAAATTCTACTTCAGAAGATGTTTACACCTAGAAACATCCCTCCGGTTTCCTTCAGGGACACGGGTCTGGCTGACCACGGACTACATAACGTAGCTTTCCCAGTGGAGCTCGATGACCTCAAATCCAATCTTACTCATACTTATAGACGTGATGTGCACCCTGACGTATTAAGGGAGTGATGATGAAGAAGAACACTCTACAGACTTGGAAATTTCCACTCAGTTGACTTCAACTACCATACGTGGGAGAGATTAAGAATTGGGGGAATAATAGGCAACTAGACTCACCCTAACTCAGATACATGGGTTGATACTAAACGGCCGTCAGGTATCACGAGGCAGTCGATGCTCCAAATGGCCGTACACGTAAGTACTACGTATGAAACGGGCAATGATGATACGCCGCAGAATTGGAACTTAGAACCTCGCAAGTGGAATGAGGATGCATTTAAGTACGCAGTTGGGGCACTTGACTATCAGAAGAATGATGCAGCTCCTTCTCCAGCTCGGGTTCCCATCTTTCAAGGTCTAGATCTGTCGTCATGGGTGTTCCCACATTTGAGGCCATCTAAGCTAGACCGATGGCCATGGCAGTGGACCTTCTGGGCTAAGAGACTTGAGGGAAACATTGATTATAGTTAATCTGAATCTTCACATCTCCCCGTGTAGAAAGACAGATACGTAAACGCCTAAGAACAATGCCTGACTGCTCACAAGATATGCGTCCGAGAACGCAAAAGTCTCAATGGTCAGTGACTATTTCTACAACTCTGAACGTGGAGTTTTCAGTAGAGAGACAACTTTACTCGAGGTGATCACGGAAGTATTTTAACTCTATGTTGAGCATTTTAGACGCATGCATTAGATCATACCAGTAAGATTCAATTGTCTATGGAGAGAATCAGTAGGTCAAGGTAACTAATGCTGGCAATTGCCCTGAAGAGGTGAAGGTAGTGTTAGGCACGACAACAATGGTACAATAGAAGTATGGGTAAGCACAACCTCTATGAGGTTGATACATGGAAGGTGGTTGAACGGAAGTAATTGTAAAAGTTTGTAAATAAAGCCCTCTCTGCGAATGAGTGTCTTGCTCTGGACACCTCAATGCCAATTCACGTAGAAGGTTCGGGGCCGGAGCAACTAGAGGAATTCCACAGAGTTCAACTGTGTCCAACACCGTTAGTAAATGAACATAATGGGCTGTGAATAAAGCCTTGAATAAAGCCTTAAACACAGTCCAGAAGAAGAAGACACTAGAGCTAAGCAATAAAAGCTTTACAGTGAGATCGAGGAAGCAGCCAGGTAGTGAATTGCCCTAAGCCCTTCAATGGCTTAAAGGTTGGAGCTGTAGACAAACACAGCTCTTCACGACTATTCTCAGCTACTCCATCAACAGATCTCTCTACAAAGACTCATTGTTGACGTTGGGCCCATGTCACATGACCCTCCAAGTGACCCTCACCATGCAATCCAGCAAGGCTGTCGCCCAGTCGCCCACAGCCCGCCGCGAGGCTCCAGAAGAACAACCGGAATTGTCCCGTGATTTCTCCGACAGGAACCCCCTAATGATCTTTGACTTCCTCCAGAGGTAACATGTCTCTTCGTTCACACAGGGATTGGAAAGATGGGAGACTAAACGGGTCACGTCTTCGGGTGTTTAGATTAGTACATGACTGATATAAACATCCCCCGTAAATCACGAAGGCAACTATCTGCTTACATCAGCTTATATAGCCCCGCCGACGGTCAACGGCATCATACATGTGTCTCAGTTGTGTGAAGGAGCGGCTTTGGCACGTAGGCGCAATCTCGGGAAGTTCTAGTCGAAAAGAATGGCAATATACCATCTCCTACTTCTCCTAGCAGCTATCTTTTATGGATGCATATCACATCAACTCGAATGCCCCAAAGCTTCTATCACAGAAGCGCGACTAAAAGACATAGAAGTTGAGGATACCAGTGTACCTTGTTGCAAAGCCAACAAGAACGTGTGTACAAAACCCAAAAAAAAAGTCCAAACCGGCAGATTTCCGTCGGACAGGATAACCCTCATAAACACCCCGACAGCAAACCTTCTCCCCACTTGACTATTGGAGTACTTCAGAAACCTTGAAAGCTTACCTTCACATCGAAATAGCAAAAGGAGCCAACCTTGATGTAGGTGGGAAGTCTGTTATCCCATCTGAGGTGGGTAAGTGCATCTTAAGCTTCAACACCTATCAAGCAGTAGTTCAGGTAGCTCTAGCAGCACGCCCACTTGCTGATGATTGTTTCGCCACAGTCATGAGCTTTTCGATAAACTAATCGATCAAGTATATTCCACACGTTGGACGAAGAGAGGAGTCAGCATGGAGATGCAACCAGACTTCGTACCTGATGTGTACTCTGTACCTAGCGCAAATTCAAAGGCCAAGTATCCCAAAAGGCACCAGATACAACCCTTGTACTAGGACTTTGCAATGTGCAGCCAACCAAGTTCCTCCGTCGAAGCCGAATACTCCAACCGTCTCGACCTCAAAATGGACTTTCTCCGTCTCCGAATCTCCCGTGTCTCCCGCCAGCCTTGACGCACCGCTGCATCGAGTTTACCGCCGTCTACTTTTCTCGTCTGCGCCGTCAGGTACCTTATCGCAGGCGACTCGAGGAGTGAAATTCAACTAGCCCGACGGCTCCTAATGACGTATCATCATTTTTGATCTCCGATCTACTGTCTTTGACGGCATGCAGGTTGCAGCATCATCATACCAAGCATAAGAGGCAGATCACTAAGTGGCCCTTATCAGCCACGTGTGGCTGAAATCATCCCAAGAAACCCCCTCGCATCCACCCACACCGTCGGATCGCCGTGACGTCGCATTTCCTCGACACATCCAAGCTGAAACGGACCCTAAACTGTGACATGTCGCACAACAGCCGCAGGTTCGAACCACACCCCTCCAGCAAAAAGTATCAGTGTTCCTTTCTCGAACTAACAGCGGTCCAACACCGAGTTATCGCGAAATTGAAGGCCAGAGAAGGGACTGGGCTGGGAACAAGCGAAATCAGCCTTCACGATTGTGTTGTGGATATTCTTTTCTATGGAAGAGAGAGCAAAACTGACATCCAACTATTTACGACAGATAGGGGACTCCTCAGAGGCGTGGAGGATGAAGAGAAGTGAGCCAAAATAAAAAAAAAAGATGTAGATGTCACGCTGCTGCTTGATGCTGATGATTCCGCCACCACGGGCAGAATAAGTAGTCCACTCCTAGAACCTTCTCGGCTCGTGAGGGAGCTCCTCGTTCTTCAAAAAAAGATTGCCCCCGAACAAATTGTCTCGTATCCGGTCGCGTGATGTCATTGATTTATATACGCTTGGCTGTGTCGCCTGCGATAGCCCGTCTTCTCCTGTAGCTCTCCGCGTAGCCGATGCGCTCATAGGTGCCGAATCCGTAGAAAGCCAGTCCGATGAGGAGCCAAGTGCTGGTGACAACCAGACCGACGGGGAAGATCATCAGCTGAACACCGGGGAGAACGAAAGCGACAGTGCCGTTCTTCAGTTGAGCCACAACTTCGTC